CGGAGATGACAAAGAAAGGGGCTTTCAAGTGGACCGAGGCGAGCGAGATGGCGTTCAAGGAGTTAAGAAAGCCATGACGACCACGCCCGTGCTCGCGATGCCGAGGTTTGACGTAATGTTCGAGATTCACTCGGACGCGAGCGACATTGGGATTAGAGCGGTCCTAGTGCAAGAAGGGCGGCCCTTGGCCTATCTTAGCAAGGCGCTTGGGCCGGCGCGCCTGGGGCTGTCCGCGTACGTGAAGGAGATGTTGGCCGGGTCGAGGCCATGCGCGTGTGGAGACCATATCTACTCGGGCGACGCTTCCGCATTGTCACGAACCAACAGCCGCTCAAGCACTTGCTCGAGCAAAGGATCGTGACACCCGAGCAGCAGAAGTTTGTGTCCAAGCTAATGGGGTTTGACTTCGAGATAATGTATCGACTGGGTCGCCAAAACACCGTGGCCAGCGCATTGTCTAGGCGAGAGGATGTTGTGGAGCTCGACGCCGTGACGGGACCAACATGGGCTGTTTGGGACGAACTCCAGAAAGCGCAAGAGGAGGATACCCATTGCCGAGACACAGTGAAGAAGGTGATCGAGAGCAAGGACAAGGATGAAGACCACGACGTGCACGATGGCCTGCTCCTCACGGACGAGTTGTCATGCTCGAGACAGGCTCATTGCGTGAGCGTGTTATCAAAAACTTCCACGACTAAAAATTTGGCGGACATTCGGGAGTGTTCCGGACTTGGATGAGGATTGCAAGAACGTTTTATTGGTCTGGACTGAGAGGAGACGTGCGCAACTATATCGCACGATGCAATGAGTGTCAGTGCACAAAGTCGGACTCACGGCGACCGGAAGGGTTACTTCAGCCATTGCCGGTACCAGCGCGAATTTGACATTACCATGGATTTTATCGAGGGGCTGCCGCTTTCCAATGGGTTCAATGGGGTCATGGTGGTCGTCGATCGCCTTACCAAGTATGCGCATTTTATTCCTCTCACGCATCCGTACACAGCTAAGTCAATTGCAAGGTTATTTGTTGAGTACGTGATGAAGCTACATGGAGAACCGCACTCCATTGTGTCCGATCGTGATCGAATTTTTATGAGTAGCTTTTGGATGGAATTTTTCAAATTGCAAGGGACCGAGCTTTCCATGAGCTCAGCCTATCATCCGCAAACCGACGGGAAAACGGAGGTGACCAACTGCACGCTCGAGCAATATCTTAGGTGTTACGTGCATCAATTTCCAAAAAGATGGGAGAGTTACTTGCCTTGGGCCGAGTACTGGTATAACACTACTTACCATAGCTCGACCAAGGCAACACCGTTCGAGCTTGTGTACGGGCGCAAACCTACGACAATTGTGAGCTACTCGATGTGTAGTGCGGTGAATGATGAGGTGGATCGGGAGTTGGTCGAGCGCGACTTGATGTTACGCGAACTTAAGGAAACACTTGAGGGCTCGATCAATCGAATGAAGGCGTACCACGATGGAAAGAGGCGCGACGAGGAGTTCGAGCCCGGGGACTTGGTGTTCTTAAAACTAAGGCCATTTCGGCAACGGACGACCGCACAAAGGGCCGCGACCAAACTTGGGGTTCGTTAATATGGGCCTTATAAAATTTTGGCCAAGATCGGGAAGGTTACTTATCGACTATAGTTGCCGGGCGATTCTCATATACATCCGGTCATACATGTTTCGCAGCTCAAGCGAAGTCTTGGCGAGGCACATTCGGCGAAGGGTAGGCTACCCGCGGTCGCACCTGATGGACAAGTTGTAGTCCGGCCAGGCCGCGCGGTTGAGTACCGGCAATCAAAAGGGCCAGAAAATACTCTTGAGAAGTACTCATCGAATGGGAAGATTTGCCGAGTGAAGAGGCAACTTGGGAAAGTTGGGACAGGATGCGCGAAAGATTTCTCGATTTCATCCTTGAGGACAAGAAAGCACTTGAAGGGGACGGGAATGATGAGAACACGGCAAGAAGGCTTGAGAATGCGGCGAGCCACGCTTATCATGCACGGCAGAGGTTAAGCCGTCGGGCTACCAAGGCCCAACTCGTTAGCGGGCATGCGCGCGCGAGCGCTGATGCGCGCGAGAATTTCGACCAAGGACGCGATAGCACGAGTACAGCCGAGGGGATTCACGTGCGAGCACACCTAACCACGCAAAGAGGATGACGTGGGCGATGCGGATGACGTGGGCGCAGGAGTCCGACACGCGCACAATGGCGGCTAGGGTTGGGCGACGCAAAGCGGACTCAATAGATTAGAATCCTTTTCTTTCCTTAATTCCTAGTATGGTAGGATATCTTATGTAATATCCCGACTTTTATCAGTATAATAATATTTTAGTTCCGATATTATTTTTTGGAATTAATTATTTTCAGTCAGTGCAGTCGAAATTACCGGAAAATATTTTTGACGTACCGTTTACGTCCGGAATAATATTGGTAATTTAGCATTATGTTTAATTGGATAATTAAACATAATTAAGTGATTAATTTATACTAATCACGAGATTAATAGTATTATTATGTTCGGGTTTTCCCAATTTTTCATGCTATGGCCGTGCACTATTCTTCTAAGTGATGGAGATTCCTCTCCCAACATCATGCTAGATAACCGTGCGCCTTCCTTGTCCTCTTGTGTCCAAATTGCCGTGCATGTGTGTGAGTTTGTGCAAGCTTATGTCTTGTAGTATCATGTGTGCATAAGTGTGTTGTATCCGTGCAATTTGTCCAAGTGATCCGTGCTTGTCCGCTAGTGCCGTGGGGTTGTGTGCGTTGCATGGGCGGAGTGTCCAAAGCTTCATGTGTAGCCGTGCATGTGTTGGTGATTCGGTCAAGATGCTCCCCCTTTGTCCTATTGCCGTGCATCCTTCCAAGATAGGCTTTGTCCTTTTGCTCAAGTATCCGTGCCCGTTTTTGTTGGCATTGTGCGTGAGTTTTGAGGCATTGTTTGTCCTCTTAAAATGCCGTGCATGGAGCTTTTGGCCGGGCCTTTTTCCTTCTTCATTTGTGGCCATTTCACGTGAGAATGAGACAAATCCTCCCCCTCATTTTCTCAGCCAATCATTCGGTTTTTAAGTGTGACTTGGGAGACTTTGGAGCATTTTACTCCTTTTCCTTCATAAGTTGCCGAGAGATATAGTAAGAGTGGTGAGAATATTTGAGTGTTATTCTCGTTCATTGCCGAGAGTCCGCGTGCACGCGAGCCATCACGCGTCCGAGAGCCATCGCGCGTAGCAGCAGCCCGTCACGCGTATCGCAAGCAAGTATCGCACGCGATCAGCGAGTCCCAGTTCGCAACGCACGATCGCGCGCGGAGTTCTTCACGGCCGAGAGCTCGGGAGTCCGAGGAGTTAGTCCCTAGGGCTTATCAAGAGGTAAGTTCCCATCAGCTTTTAACCGAGAGTTATATCATGTTTATTAAGATTAAATGTTAAAATCGACATGCATGCGCGTTAAGCCATAGCCGTGCGTTCATGATATATTTTAAGTGAATTATCCGAATCATGTTATGATTTTCTTCGAATTCTCCGAATAATCCTCGCATACTTAGCTTTTATTTGCGAAATCATGTTTAATTGAACTTAAGTATTCGGATGATTTTACTCATGTTAGTAGAAGGCTGGCCGAGAGGGGTGTGGTCGCACACGTAGTGCGCACCACGGCCACCCGAGTACCATTTCATGTTAAGTTATAACCTTCGACCATTATGTGTTATTATGTTCA